ACGAAACACATGCAATGACTCTGAATGGTGCAGAACCCAGGCCAGTGGGTAGAAAGTCTTTGGATCCAGTGTCACTGGAAACATCTCAGTGCTGGCAGGGGTCTCTGTGACTTTTCCAGCTTCCGAGGTCTGGTTGCATCCATGTGGCTTGTCTTCTGCAATGTCTCCCAGGGAGTAGCAGAGAGAGAGAGAGAGAGAGAGAGAGAGAGAGAGAGAGAGATGTCTTCCGCCTCCAAGAAGGAAGTACCAGATTTCTCAGATTTCTCAGGAGAAGGCCATGCCCACACAGAAGTCTCATTGGCTGTCTCCAGATTGACAGCCTAGACTCCACCCCTGCACTCTTAATCCTTAAATTGACATCAGATTAGGTGACGACCACATCACCCCTTGTTTCCTGTTAGAAAAGCAAAATTTCTAATCCCACCCATCTCTGCAACATGAATGAGCAACCTGTACCACGCAGATAACACAACCGTGCTTGTGGATGACGGTCAAAAATTGCAGTCTTCAGCATGGACCACCGCTCCGGGTCAGGAACACCAACCTTTTCACACCTGAACCACGAGGCAGTATCAGGGTAGACAGAGAAAAGACTGAAGTGGTCAAGGATTGCATTTTACTTGCAAGAAATCAAACAATGAATTGCATGGGACACATCAGCTACACAAGACCTATCTAAAATATGAAAGAGCCCAGATGTTGCTCTGAGGGCTTTTATAAAGTGGGCCTGTCACCTTGGGTGACATCAACCACAGTGACCCCACTGGCTTTAGTCTGCACCTCTCAGACTTCCTGCTGTGGATCAGGAAGACAGGCTGCGTGTTCCTGTGGGCCCTTTCTAGGTCCTGTAGCTGCGAGGAGAATCTCCTGAGATGTTTCCAAGCCGAGTGGGAATGACTCTCACTGCTTTTGAGTCTATGCTGACTCATAGCGACTCCGTGTGGGTTTCCAAAACTAACTGTTTTGGGGAGTAGAATGCCCAGTCTTTTTCCCTCTGAGCGGCTGGTGGTTTCGAACTTCCGACCATGAAGATTGCAGTCCAAATGCTTAACCATCCACCACCAGGACTCCTCAAAGTGATAATCAACAACGAGAGACTTAATTTGATTCTTATAGGTGAGGAGTTCAGCTGCATTTGAAAAGGAACTCGGCTCCCTTGCAGCTGACGACTGTGGACCGAGTGCAATAGGAGAAGGGGTGTTGCAGTGAAATGAAATTGCTTGGTACGGTCTTCCATCCACCATCTTCGTACCTCCCATCCAGTGACTGGGTGGGAACACGCATTTCTTATGCTCATTTCTCTGGGTGTAAGAGCCATCTCAGAAGCAGGAAGAAGCAGCAGCCCATGATCATCAAGAACGAACAGCCCCCAGTAGAGCCCATGCCAGATCCCTTTCTGAGGTGTCACGCCTCCAAGACCGTGAGACAGAGTGGAGAGACAACACCAAGACTGTGAGGCAGGGCAGCGGGCTTCCTGGCCCACGAATCAAGGCAGAGACCTAGAGATCACATGGCTCAGAGGCTGAGGACCAGAGAAAGATGGGGCTGCTGCCTGAGAAGAGGTGCTGCTGTGGACAAAAGACGGTGACCTTAATGCTTGTGAAGTTCCCTAACAAAGGCCCGTAACCATGAGCATTGAATGAGTTCGAGATATGACGACGAGCAAGTGCACGGGGTAGTGGCATGGGCAGACGAGCCAGACAGGACCCCGGAGAGCTTCGAACCCTTCAGTAGGCGGCGTTGGCCCTGGAGACTGGGTTTTTCCAAAGTGTGCTTCCTGTTTGCCAGTTGCATAGAATCCTCTTCTCAGAACGAGGGGTGGGATTCTGCATTCCTCACTTGCAGATTTTTGTCTGTGAGTGTGTGCAGGGGGCCAGGCACTGACCCAAACACTGCATGCAGCACCGTATTTGAGTCACGCACCAACCCTCCGAACCGGGTCATGTGACACCCATTGCCATTGAGTCAGGTCGATTCTGACGCATAGCAACCGGACAGCACAGAGGACTGCCCCCGGGGGGCTTCAAAGCTGTGATCCTTCCGGAAACAGACGGCCTCAGGTTCCCCTGGCCGAGCGGCTGGTGGCTCCAATCCATCAACTTTGCCTTAGCAGACAAGTGCTCAGCCCCTGTGCCACTAGGGACCCTTTGCTAGTGCGGTGCCACCTTCGTTTATAGATAAGAACGTTGTCTCAGAGAGGTTAAGAAGCCTTTCCGAGGTTAAACACCTGGTAAGTGGCGATGCTCGGATTTGAACGCCTGCATTCTGACTTCGAGAAGTCCTGGCGCAAAGAGCCTGTGGCATATTATTTCATCTAGCATTTCCCACCCTTGCTCTTTGTTCTAGAAAAATTTGCATATAGCATATAGAAACATCCTAGGCAGGGCACAACAAAGGGATCTGATCCAGGAGACTTTTGATTTGATTTGCACGTACCCAGTATCCGTCCGTTACCCCGTAGTGAAGATTAGTTCATTCTCAACCAACCAGCCGCAGCCAAGTCCTTCCAGACCCATGGGTGACCCATGTCTGCCAGAGTAGAGCCATGTCCATGCATGTTCCTCATTTGCATCCCCAGGGACCTGCAGTCCTTTCTTGGATCCCCTCGATAAGTGTTCTGATTGGCTCCCTGAGAGCAGTCACTGCGTCTGAGTCCCTGCTAGGTCCTTCGAGGAACCCAGGAGGCCAGGCCCAGGATCTGTGCACCAGAGCCCTGCTTGAGTGATGGAGTGACTCCTCTGTTGCCTGCGAGCAGGGAAAGAAAGTGGAAGGCATCCGGGCGCTGCTCTGTGGTCTCTTCCAGATGGTAAACGAACCACCTGGTAACCAGAAACGGAGACATTTGTGGTAAAAGACTGTATAGCAGTTAGCTTTTAAGTCAGCTTGCACTTGGGGAGGGGTGGAGTCCAATCTGTCAATCAGGTCACAGCCTGATGATCCCCCTGGGAGGGGTGGCCTTTTATAAGAGAGACGGTGGAACTTCCCCACCCCCCATTCTCCTGCTCTTGACCTTCCTCTTTGCTGGGACTTGGTATCTGCCTCCCCGGGCGGCCCCATGTTGGCTTCGGACCCTGGAAGCCAACCTCCGAGTCGTCTGTGCCCACCGACCTTGGATCCATGACTCTGCACCTACCAGCTGGGGAGCTCCCTGCCTCCTGCTTCACCCTCTGGGGCATCACGGGGTCTGAAGAAGGCGCCAGCTTGAGCTGGACCAGGCTGGGATGCTTTCTTGATATTCAGTTGCTTCTTGATATAAAATTCCTTCTTAGACATACAGTAGGGTCACTGCCTGCTTTCCTCTAGACAGCCTAGCCTGACACAGACCATATATCTGAAATCTCTTTACTTTCAGAGTCAGAATCGGATGGAAACATCAGACTCCTCACCCCATCCCCAGGAGTTGCCCTGTCTGACAGAGGCGGGGCTGCAGAAGGCTGGTTTATTAAACCAAAGCGTCGTCGGAAAACACTAGCTCATTCCTCTCCTGCTAAAGAGAGAAAGACTGAGGCCAGAGAGGGGAGGGGACCCCCCAAGGGGTCCAGGATGCCAGTGTCTCCTCCCACTCGGGAGCTCTGTCCGTGGACTCGGCCTGTACCCAGTCCTCCTCCCATGGCTCCTTGGCCCTGCCCCTGGGAGCCAGGTGGCAGCTGCCCCTGCATACCCGATCGCCCTCACATCCCACCCCTATCCCAGCTGCACCCTGCTGCAGCCTGACTGCCCCTAATGAGATTACAGATTGCCGGTAAAACAGGCGAGGGTTAATTCCCTCTGGCTTTAAAGGACAGGCCAGGCCACAAGAATTAACCAACAGAAAGCCTTCCACCAAGAAAGCTAGGCGTGATGATGGTACTAACACCTTCCCCTGTAGGGTGCGTCATGGCTCACAAATATCCCTGCCTGGGAGTCCGCACCCAACCTAGTGAGGGAGAAGCTACCTAGTCTTTATGATCTACTTTCACAGATGGGGAGGCTGAGGCACGGTGCGATTCAGTGGCTGTCCCAGGTCACAGTGGCAGAGCTGGGACACAAGGGCAGGTCTCAGCGTCTGTCTTTAAGAAGTATGGGCCCTGAGGACCGGCCAGGTACCCAGGGCTTTCGGCATCAACCAGCCCTGAAGGATACAGCTCATTCTCTCTGTTCCATGGTGAGTGGCAAAGGCCAAGTTCAAACTCAGGTCCACTGAACTCAGACCTCACATCCCCACGGTTCTGCCCCATGTGCCTGCGCCCATCCAGCTGCTCATGTGGGTGAACACAAACCAGCGGAGCCCCAAATGTCCTGCTTCCAGAACCACGTGGCCCATGGGTTCTGGCTCCCAGGGTCTCGGTCTCTCCCTTTCAGTAAAGAACACTGGGCACCAAGTGTTCTTCGGTGAGTCCCTACAATTGGCAGAGGCAGAGCAACAGAGTAGGCCTGGCACAGGGGGCTGCCCAGCACAGTTTCTTTGTGCCTTCCCTCCTCCTCTGTAAACGGTGCTACTTGGTGGGGCTGGTGTTAGGATTCGGTGTGCTTCTAGAATAGCACAGTAAATGCAAGGTTGGCAGTTCAAAACCACCAGCTGCTCTGCAGGAGAAAGATGAGGCTTTCTACTCCGGTTCAGTTTGCAGTCTGAGGAACCCACACAGCGGAGTTCGACCCAGTCACTGAGGCACAGGTAACTCCATGGAAGTGAGTGAGTTAACTACTAGGATGTCATTGCCATCAATGTTCTCTAGAACAATGCGCAGGTAAAAACCAAACCAACCCACGGACAGCTCGTCCTGCTCCTCCCACCACTACGGGGGCCCCTCCCTGGGTGAAGAGAAGCCATGGGCATTGAAGGCTGAACCCCGTGGCCTGCTCTAATTTCCCAGGCACTAATCTCCTCATGGCTTCTAATGATGCAACCAGTAAGAGGATTGGGGCTTCTCTCTGGGGCAGCCAGACAGGCCATGACTTTGGGACAGGCCACTGGTCCCTAGCGACCCTGGCCACCTGTGTCCCCGGCTGGCCTCCAGTGCATGGAATGGTGCTGTGCCCCGGGCCGGCGGGCTGGGCTCACCATGGTGCCAGGTGCCATCCTGGCGCGCGGGAGGGACGTGTGCAAGCAGAACGGACTGCTCGTCCTGTCCGTGCTGTCCGTCATCGTCGGCTGCCTCCTCGGCTTCTTCCTGAGAACTCGGCGCCTCTCCCCTCAGGTCAGCCCCCCCC